CCGGGAACGCCGCTGGAGCTGCCCTGGAAGCGGAGCCGCAATTCCCGTGCCAGCCGGAGCCCCCGGGATCACCTCAGAGAGCCCCCCAAGCCCATCCCCAGCCCCCCCAGACTGTCACCCTGCTCCTGGAGCCCCAGCAGGGGAAATGGGGCTGGGAGCACCTTTGGCTGCCCATCCCACAGCTGAACCCAACCACAGATCCCACGGCACCGCTGGAGGAGCTCCGAGGGGTTCATGGCTTTCATGGGGGTTGATTTTTTTTTTGTATCAAAATATTTATACGTGAGAAAAGCTTTCCAGGGTGGCTCTGGCCGCTCGGAAGCATCACCAGAGCAGATGTGCTGGGTTTGGGGGGAATTATTAAAAGTTTGCTGGAAATCCACGAGGCCGATTCCCTCCTTTGTGCGAGCGTTGCCTGACAACGGCGCCGCTCGGAGAGCTCGTTAGCGGCAGGAAATCACCTCGTGTCACATCCCCGAAGGGACGAGACTGGCCAGGGAGCCACAGCCTTCTCTACAAACACAGAAGATTTTTTTTTTTTTATTTATTTGACAATAAAAATCATTTCTTTGCCTCCTGGAGACGCAGGGATGAGTCAAGCGCACAGTCAAGGACTGCAGGCAGCTCCTGATGGCAAAATCTCATCCTTTCCTGGAAATCCTGAATATCCCAGCTCCAGGGCAACCCCTCCAGCTCCTCAGCTTCTGGAGGTGACTTCTGGTCTGATTTTACAGATAAATTGGGAACATTTCATGTTTCTGTCTCGGCAGGAGCAGATCCTGTTCCGATAATGAGCGGGATTGTTCCAAGGGCACCTTTGAGGGCAGCAAAGCAGCTCCTGAGCCACTTCTTGTCATGAATTATAACAAATTCCGGCATGCAGGGACCTCTTAAAGCCCTGCTGCCACCCAGGGAACACTTCCCTCTTTCTGCAGGATCACTTTCCATCTTTAAGATAATTTATCTGTAACGGGAGCAGAAAAACCCCTGCAGGAAAGAGGAAATTTCTGCCCATTCCGTTTCTCAGCTTCTTTCTTATTTTTCACTCTTTTTTCCCCCCTCTTCCATTTTCCCCTCTCTTCAATCAGCTGATCACAATTCACCCCTATCTGATAAGGTGACATAAAAGCATTAATTTTTTTTAATTTCCAGCTCTGACCCCTCTGCCCATCATGGAAACGAGCCCCCGTGGTTAATTTCCCTCTGTGCTTATTTATTCATTTTTTAAATGCCCTAAAAGTAAAATGTGGTGGCCTCAGGATGTGGAAGACAGGTTTGATTTTAATTCCTGCCAGGGCACCATGGGAATGCCCACACGAGAAGGCTGCACTGCAGCTGAAGCTGTTTTCCTGTTTTTTTGGGAATTGGGATCAATTCCTGGCAGGATCTTTGCCTCCCCACTCACCCCACCTCATCCAGTGCCAGTTGATCCCAACACCTTCCATAAAACTCAGTGCTGCTCATTTTGGGGGGAACAGARCCATTTCCAGCCCTTTCTGGGGAGGCAGATCCAGGCAGGGCCATTCCAGTTGGGGTGGGAAGGGCTGAGCTTGAGCATTGCTCCTTCAAGGCACCTCCAGGCAGGACCTGGGGGATCAGATCCTTCCTAAATCCTGGAATTCCTTGGTTCAGGAGTGCAGACACAGGAGCTCATGTTTACGGTAAT